CAGTCTCCCAGTTTCTAGGCCAGCCCCTTAACCACTACACCGAAGTGGCTCTCTCTATTAGTAGAAATAACAAACTTTGGGGAAAGTAGCGAAGAGTGCCGATGATTTAAAAAAAAAGCCTGCATTGCATCCATAGCGGAGATGTACAAATGGATTCATGCTTACATTGTGGTGCAAGTGAAAGTCTGCTTACAGATAAGGAAAGTGAAGCTTATCTCTAAGGCTACAACACTTTCAGACCCACACAGATTTCCATGTTTTACTCTGATTGGAGTTCCTTGTTTTATGGATTGCAAGTCCAATACATTCAGTCAAAGATACAGATTTGTATCTGAAGGTATGAGGCTTAAGGAAGGATTAAGTTTCCTTTCCCTTCTTAGCTGAAGGCGGGGCTGTGGTGGCACAGTGGTCAGAATGCAGTACTGCAGGCTACTTTTGCTGATTGCCTGTTGCCAGCAGTTCGGCAGTTCGATTCTCACCTGCTCAAGGTTGACTCAGCCTTCCATCCTTCCAAGGTCGGTAAAATGAGGACCCAGATTGTTGGGGGCAATAGGCTGACTCTGTAAAACGCTTAGAGAGGCCTGTAAAGCACTGTGAAGCAGTATATTAGTCTAAGTGCTATTGCTATACAAACTGTAGTTCTCAAATTTTCCTCCTAACTCTCAAATTCCATTTCTCTTCAAATCTTTTTTCTTTTAAATTGTACATTATGTATACAAATTATGATCCTGCCAATAATGAATGCTCTCCAGGCTGGCTGGTGGTGACAAGAGGTGTGGGTTCATATCCCAGCATGAGACTTAAGAAATTTGTTTTAAGAATTGCTCAGAATAAAGGAACCTAAAGCCCTTCAAACTGTACATCTCCCATAATACTTCCCAATTTAGAATAATAGAGACCTATTTTGGAGTAGAGGGTAGACATCTGATCATGGCATAATGCAATATATTGCTATTTTGCAGAAAGGACAGCAAAGAGAAACAGCAAAACTGTAAAAAAGAAAGTAGCCAGAGGTCACTTACTAAGTCTCATGACTACAGTGAAACTTAAACTGAGAATGCTCCAGTGAAATACTTGAGTCCTTTCTGTTGATAAATTATTTTGTAACCGGAACAGATACCTTATCTCTTACAGTGACACTTAAATAAACCATTGAATGCAGCTCTTGTATAAACAGATCACTATCTAACTGGACCAGTAACATTTGCATAATTCATGCTTATAACATGCATATTGTATTAGGTTCTCTGGTTTGCAGAATGTGGACTAGAAAAAAAATCAAAATTATTTTCTAATCACAAAATAACAATATCTTATGGCTATGTATAATTTCAAATCTGTTCTGAATGCATTTTGCATATACTGCATTGTTTCTCCATGAAACAAATTGGAGAATGTTTTCTTTTAACTGACACTGTGTGGGACCACTAGCACATAATGCTGGTCAGATACTTAAAATATAAAGGTAGCTATAACTACCGGTATAAAATAATTCTTCCTCTCAATGTCCGTGTTCACATTGTGCTAATAATATAATCAGATGGGTTTTATTCATTTTGGTTTGTACAAGGGATAAATGAAGCTATAGCTGCTGTGACCTTGTAGTTAAACAAACTACTTTTGTGCAGTTTATTTAACTAACAATGCAGAGAGAAGACTGAAGCCTCCCTTCTGTGGACTGAGTTATCCAGATGGACTATTTTCAGGATTACAAATGAACTCCCACCCTGAAAAGGCTCTAAGTATGCTTTGGTGACTGTATGTTTTCTAAGTGGCTGGAAACTTTCCCAGAAAAACGCTGATGCCATCTATGTGGCTGAACTATTGTTACAATAGGGTGAACCCAGCCATTGTCCCGAAAATCATTGTTAAAAATACAACTGAAACATTGCTATTGTTCATTCAATAAACTATGATTAAAACCCATCGTGACTTAACATGAGACAGAACCCCAGCTACAAATTTTTAAGTAAGGAAATAACATTGCTATAAATGAGTTTAATGCTGTTTAAAAAAAACAGATTTCTCACTTTGGAATATTAATTAATAACTGTACATATAAAACAGCTGAATTCACACAAGATGCTTGGCCAGATAGATTACAATTCACTAAATAAACTACAGTTAACTAGTATATGTAACACTCTGAAACGTAAATATTGATTCATGTAGTTTGCTAAGATGCAAATAAACCAGCCAACTTGGACTTAGACTGTTGCATCAACCCAGTCACAGACTGTTTTCATATATTACACAAAGCCATTATTTATAATCCACAACAGACTGGTTCATGCAATCCACTGGACCAGTGTTTCTCAACCTGGGCAATTTGAAGTTGTGCAGATTGCAACTCCCAGAATTCCCTAACCATCGTGCTAGCTGGGGAATTCTAGGGGCTGAATTATCTTCAGGGTTGCCAAGGTTGAGAAACACTGTCCTAGGCCAAAATGGGCCATACCACACAATTAAAGGGAATTATGTCATAGTCATATAGTGCAAATGTTTAGCCTGTCCTTCTGACATGACTTTTCTATGAAGAATCAAAAGTAGCTGATGGACTTGTGACAATGCAGACCCAGCAAACTGTGGACATATTGAGCTCTTATTCCTTAACTGATCTGTAACCCATCCAGAGTGATGGTACCTTTCCTATGGTAGGAGCTGTTACACTAATGGAAACTCAGAAATTCAGATTTCTGTTGGGATGCAGCTGCCTGCATTGTTATCTAGCCTGGTACAAGATCAGCTGTGAAATATTCAATTCCCTTTTTAAAGCAGCATGCCAAAACAGGCAAATTTCCCTTTTATATAGAGAGAAAGTTCCTCCATCCAATTGTCTCTTATTTCCCCCTTTCTTCCTTCGCCTCTCCTTTAAAAACCTTCCATAATTTCTCTTTTGAAGAGGTTTTTTTTTCCAGCAAAAGGAAGATACGCACAGAAGGACCAAGAAACTCTAAAAGGGACCTCTCACATATGAGACAAAGGATAAAGCCACAAAAGAAGCACAAGCTTTTTCAGAGCCATAGCATCCATTTTCATGCAAGCTATGGCGATTTTTAACCACTTGTCATAGCCTGTAATGATACAGGAGCCAGATAAATATTCCAAGACTCCATTTACAAAAACAAATTTTGAAAGTTTTCAGATCATTATCTATTCAGAGTGATTTACATATATTTTCACATGTCTGAAAGACATTTTAAATGAACATTTTAAATGGAAATATCACATGTACTCTTTTAATAGGCCAGGCATAAGTGGTGTACAAGTGCAAAGGGGAAAAATAAAAGGATTAACATTCAATTCAACCTGAATGAAATATAAAAGTGAGACAAATCAAAAGATGTTTTAGTGGTAACCTAAGAGCCCATGTAACAAAAATACAAAAAGATAGAGGCACAGATAATGGTTTCTGACTGGGATACACATCCTTTTGTTTTCCTTTCAAAGTTTTCAAAATAATGACTTCAAGTGAATAATTAAAATTATAGTACTCTTTTAACCCAGTGACCTTTGAGAGTCCTTATTTGCAGTCACTACATTAAATGTATCTTTCATTTATTTTTTTAGGTTCTGGATACAAAATAATTTTCTCACTGTGCTGAATATCCAATATTCATGGATACTGAATTAGAGTTAGAAAATAGTGGAGAGAAAACTAGGAACGCTCTACAGCACAACTCAAGATTGTTTATTATTAATCAAGGTCTTGACAATACCAAATAGTTGATAAATATCCTGAACCAAATATCCAAGAAGCTGAACCAGATCAAAGAAAACTACTTATCAAAAAAGCAGAAGTCCTTAAAAAAAAGCATTTTTGCAATATCAGGATTGCACTCATCCTTAACCTATGCTGTGCTGCCTAGCCAGTCTTCCCCAAATTGATACATTCCCCATTATCTCCAATCCAACAGGACCACTCCTGACAGCTGGCTCAAAATTATCAAAATGGTGTGTGGTTCAGCACATCCAGCTAGCACCAGCCTGATCTAAACACACAGATGGTGCATTATTTGGGGGGAGGGAGGAAGAATGAGTGTTTATAAAGGTTCGGGAATGCTGCCAACCAACTAATGCACCCTTAGCATTCACTTTTCTCTTAGAAACAAGTGGCGCCTAAAGTTGAAAATGTTCTGGAGCACTGCATGTTTGGCCAGAAGCACATTGGGCTGCGTTCAGACTGGCATTTTACCTAGGAGGTAGCTGCAAAACCTACCATCTCACCATTTTGCAGTTAATAAGCAAGATAACTTATTTATTTCTTTAAACACCCCTCAATTACTAACAGGACATCCGTTTAAAAGGGAAGCTCTGGAATCTCGTGCATTTCTCAGGCTCCAGTGACGCACATCTTTTGCGGTCCTGGCCGTTTTTGAACCCTGCTTCGCTTCAAGCACTAACTGGGAGCTTATAGGCGGGTAGAGGGGGTCGTTGAAGATTTATATCTTCGCCTTCAATGAACCGCTATGCCCCACTATCCTTCAAGAGCGCCCAACGTGCAACGGACACGCGTTCTTCACTAACTCCGGCCAACGCTTGGCGGAGTGTGCTTTTTGCATGAACATCAAAAGTCTCGCGGTCGGCTCCATCCCAAACTGCTTATAAGGCGCTCGGGGCCCGCTGGCTCATTTGTTTACCCGCGCGGGAGGCGAGTTCGTCTACTACTAGATAGTGCAGCGAACGTGTGCGCGCGCGTGTGTTTTGCTCGTAGCCAAGGAACTCGGGTTTTGCAAAGCCCTTTTTTCAGGTTAACAGCGACAAACAATTTGCAGGCACGGTCCCTCCGGAGCAGACGAGTTGAACACGTCCTCGGCAGAACCGAGGGAATCGGCGGCAGGAGAGATCCGGCGACCCGGGGAAAAAGAAGGAACAAAGATGGGAGGTTAGCAAGAGAAAGTTTGGAGAGAAGCAGAAGAGGGCTGGAAGCATCCTAAGGAAACAGCTGCGCAGGAGAAAGATCCAAGCGCGGAGGAGCAGCCGGAGTCCTATTTTCTTACCCTTGGTCCACTCCACAACTTGCTTAGGATTCCACTTGGTTACGGGCTCCATCCTCTTCCTCGGTCCAGCCGTTGCTCTCCCCCACCACCCGGCGGATCCGGATTCCAGCAAGGGACAGCCGCCCGGAGCTCCAACTAGCTCCTTCCTCTCTGTTCCCAGCCACGGATTTCCCCCTTTCGGGCTCCCATCCGAGCGGGCAGCCCGCGAGCCACCCGCCCTCTCAGCTCCGCCCTTCGGGCCCAGGCCTGCCTCTCCTGCGCGTCCAGCCCCTCCTCCACGTGCTTGGCACTCTTGCCAGGAGAGCCGCGCAGAGGCGCTGCCTCTCTCGCCCTTGGCGGCTCCGGGGCTTCGTTTCTCTCGCGCCCCCTGCAGGACGGAAGGGCTCCGGCTCAAGTTACCAAAAGGAGGGGGGGGGGAATTGGTTGTAGTTGTGGGGACCCGCCCGTTTTTCGCAGCTCTTTCAACCTCGAGCTCTGCGCGGGGGCTGGAACGAAACTCCTGAAAGGCAAAAAGGCCGGCCCGGCGGTGCCCACGCAGGCTCCTTGCTCCGCTGTTCCGGCGGGTGTATTTTGTTTTGCAATGAAGCCTGCTGGAAATGGTTGCCAAGTGTGCACATCTGAGGCCTGGGGTGTTTGGGGGGGGGGGGGGAAAGCAAACAATACGAACAGAAAACCGCGCGTGGATTTCTGGTTCCTCGTACAGAGCTTGGAAAACTTATGTGGAAGCGCCTACAGTATTTACACCGTTTCCCATTCAGGAGTTTGCAAGGTTTAGAGAATAAACAGTCCTGTTCCTGCCTCCAGATGTGCTTTTCCAACTTAGAATTTGGGGTGGGTCATCTTGCCCAGACATAGCTTTTAGTCATCATTAAAAAAAAAAACAATTGCCTGCTTAACCAACAGATTATAGTACAACTGCAGCAACTCAAAAGATATCAAAATTGAGGCCTGCATGCTGCAATTTACCTGTGATGCTCACAGTGGTTTTATCTAGGACTCCCTTGTTTTATAGAGGATCATAATTCTCACCATTCCAGGCTGGGGAAAGCTGATTTACATGTTGGAAATTTAGCCTCAGCTGATGATCCCTTTTATTTTGCTTTCTTGCTTGGTTTTAATACTAGTGAATTGGCTAGATACACTGGCATGATATATTTACTCTAAGCCAGTCTTGCCTATTTTGGCACCTGAACTGCTATATTCCATTGTCAAACTTTTCAGCAATGGTCAGGCTTCTTAAAGAATTCTAGGATACTTTCTAGCAATTTTGATTTCTGATCTGATGAACAAGCCAGCTAATGTGCTTCTTGTGTTTATATTCTTTGTAGAATCAGAGTTAGAAGGAACGATGAGGATCATCTAGTCCAGTGGTTCTCAACCTTTTTAATGCCGCGACCCCCAACCGGTCGTAAGTCGAGGACTAAACCGGTCGTAAGTCGAGGACTAAACCGGTCGTAAGTCGAGGACTACCCAACCGGTCGTAAGTCGAGGACTTTCCCTGCCCGGGAGCGCCGTGCATGCGTGGTTCCGCCCCCTGCGCCGACTGAGGCGTAGCTGGCAAGTGGCAGAGATGGAGCAGGCTGACCACCAGCTGGCCCAGCTCAAGGGAGGTAAGGCACCCGCCGGAAAAGGGGAAAAAAATGGCGGACAGCCTTGCTTGGTGACCCCCGTGAAATGGTCGATCGACCCCAAATGGGGTCGCGACCCATAGGTTGAGAACCGCTGATCTAGTCTAACCTTATGCCATGTTCAGAAAAACTAATTAAAGCATCATGAAGTATCGAGTGTCCAGCCTCTTCTTAAGAATCTACAGAGATGGAGAGTCCACAGTTGTGCCCTCACAGTAGACTAGATAGGTAGGTAGGTAGGTAGATAACCTTTATATCATTTATTTACTGTGGGCATAATGGCACACATTAAAAATGAAATTTAGTTGCTTGCTCTCAAAAGTATTCACATACATAACATATTTAAACATACAATAGTATAGTATAGTTAAGTATAGACTTAACACCCTTACATATAAGTAATATATAAATATTAATCACTGTCCATCTTGAATACATAACGGAAGGAGGAAGCTTTAGAGTTCACAAGGTTAATACTGTATGGAACTGTACTTCATTGTACTTTGCTGTTGTTTGCTGCTTTCAAATTCAAGCAGATTGCTTGCTTTTTTATTTCTTGGTTTGTACATTGCATTATCATCTTTTTAGAAGCTGTTTTTATTACCTGTTTATTCATTTATTTAGTACCTATTTACCTCTTGAAGTGATTAGTAAAAAAAACTGCAGTGGACACCTAATTATGTATCAACAGGTTTACTTTGCTGTAGATCCACAAATGTTGGGTGAGTTTTTTGCAAGATCTCAGCATCTACTTTTCCACATATTTTCCATATCAAGTAATAAAGGTCACATTCTGTGTCATATGCATGGACAGGGGTGGGGAAGGGATGAAATGTGCCTCAAAAATTGCTGCTTAGGCATTTGTGTCAGACATTGGAATACAAGGAGGTAGCAATGGGGATTTTGTTATGTTGCTCACATGTGTGTCATCATTTGGATGAAGTATTGGTTTGCTGCAGGCAGTAATAATGAAGATGATTAAATAGAAATAATTGTTATTAATAAAATATTAATTAAACGTATATGCCACGTGACTCCCACTACTCCCGGTGGTTTACAAATTGTTAAAAACATTAAAAACAAAGAAACTACAAAAAACAAAACAGACAGACAGCAGAAATGATGAAACCAGACAGAACTAAAGAGAAAAAGGAGCTTAGTCATGCTTGCCAAAGGCCTGGGTGAAGAACCAGATCTTCAGGGCCATTTGAATTTTAGGAGCACCTCATTTCATTTGCTACAGAAAAGGCATGTTTCCAGACTCCCAATGAATGTCATTGCTTAATCAAAGAAACCTGGACCGATTCAACCCAGCCAGATTGGACCAACCAGACAGATGGTATGGGAGACAGGAAGTCCCCTCAAGTATCCAGGTCCTCTGATCTGATCACTCTGCATGTGGCATGTTTACATATCATTTCTTTTAGTTCTGTCTCCTACTAGAGTTTGGTGTCTTTTAGGTTGTCAGGTACAGTATGTCTGGTGTCCCATTGACTGCAGACGCAGAATGGCCATTTAATATAACTAAGAGCTGTGTAAAAAGCATGTTGAGTCATGGATAATTGGCAGCAATACTCAACAGGGTGTAGCACCAGTAATATGTAGAAAATAATACAACAATAATGCTATGATTTTCAAATTTAAACTAGAATTTTGTAAACAGGATCTATGATATGACAATCAAGATGATCAGTTAGAAAAGAAGCTTTATATTGACATGGTTATTATTTGCAGAAACATTAGAAAAATGTCTATATTTAATTGTCATTCATCTAAATAATAAGAATTGTATTTAAGGTTGGCAAAAGAGAATATTATTGGAAGAAGAGAAAATCAAGCAAAGCCATTATGTGGATTATAGAATTAAACTAATTGTTATTGATTGTTTTTTAAATATAAACCCAGACAACATGCTGTTTACCAAATATTAAGGTGATTATGTTAAAAAATCAATACAACATATTTTTAAAAACATAATGCTATGATTTTCAGTGGTGACATTATTTATCTTGCAAGTAATACCAACAGGAAATATGCATATCCCTGGTACAGTTGTGTTTCCAATAAATCAGTGTAGTCTGGAACAAGACTGGAGATACAGCTCATTTGTTCCAGAATATAATAGCAGTGTGGAAGGCAGTGGAAAACCATTACTATATATTAACCCTGAAAAAGGTATCAGTGGCTGAATGCAGTAACATTGCATATCACACTATGCATTAATAATATAATTCAATTTTGGCCTAGCACAATATAACCACTTCCGAAAATGTTGCCAAGAAAACTGTATGGACTTGTCCATGTAGTTTCCAGGAGCAAAGACTGATGTGAACATGGACATAAACATACACCCAACAGATTATAAACAGTGATTTATGATGTAGCAGAACTCTGCCAGCCTTCAAAGTCCAAATGGAACTATGGACCCTGGATACCAAGTAACAAAGTTTGGGGACAAAAGTTCTACTTTAATTATATATTCTAGGTTCTCGTTTCATATGACATTCTACTGTAGTTTTTAACTTGACTTGTGATTGCACAAATACAGCCATTCTATATTTTTACCAAGAAAATCACATAGATAGAAAATAAAGCCAAAGCCAAGAAAGACAAAATTCCAGAAAGAAGTTAACAAAGAATTGTTAACGGAGAATTCTAACAGAGAACTGTTAGAAGAGATAAGAAGCAGTATTACAACTTCATCTGTAAAGACATTGAGAATGGAAATAGACATGTAAAAACAAGGAAAGTTTTTGAAAAGTTCTCTGAAATTCAGTCTTGAATTGGTGTGCTGAAGGATGCCAATGGACAGATAGTAACTGATTCAAATGAGATTTGTTTGTTTATTTATGTATAAATTTTATTGCTGTCCATCTTATCATAGGGTAACTCAAACAAAAAGATGGAAGATCAAACAAAAATGAAAGGACTATATTGAAATTTTGTACAAGAAAGATGTAAACATCCAAGATACCTTAGAAGATATTCCTTGCTTATAAGAACCTAGGACTAGAAGACGAAATTAGATCACCACTTTGGTCATTATCAGTTTGGAAGGCTACAGGAACTGATAGAATACCCACTAAAATATGGCAGTTCAAATGCAATGATGTGTCTATACCAAAAAGATCAGCATTGTGCAATTCCTGTAACATTCCGGAAGCATAAATTGGACTTTAAAGAAGCAAAACAGAAGAGTATTAATATTTTGAACTTTGGTATTGGAGAAGGCTTCTGAAAATACCATGGACAGCCAAGAAAACAAACTAATGGATTGTCAAACAAATCAGGCAGAGTTCACACTCAAGGGCAATTTACCAGGTTCAAATTATCCTACTTTGGACTCATTATGCAAACACCTAGCTCTTTGGAGAAGGCTCTAATGCTGGGAAAGGTGGAAGAAAAAAGATTAGAACAACCAACAACAACGTGGATGGACTCAGCAGCAGAAACTATGAGTGCACTGTTGAAAAAACTGAAAGATCAAAATAAGGACAGATCATCATGAAAAAAACCCCCTATTGTGGTCATTAAGAGTTGA